AAGAAGTATATATATATAAATAATGGTCGACTTATGCAAGGTCCTTTTACAGGAATACCCGTATCTGTTTTTCAAAACCAATCAAAGTAGATATACATGTATATGTGCAGGAATCAAATCAACAGTCTGCCCTAAAACATCATGTTGACCAAAGGTATTCTTGATATGCTGCACAGTACCCATGGCTCACAGACAATTTGGACCATCTTACCTCATCTTCTTTCTGGTTGGTGTGCTGAAGGGTTGCGGCAACCACGTCAGATTGCATGAAACTGGTGGGGCTAAATGGTACCTGAGTGCCATCCCCATCCTTTGCAAGCGGGAGGGAATCCATCACCACTGTTGGGCCTGATGGGGTGCATGGCGGCATGCTGTCAGTGACATATATAAACACAAAATATGGGTGACCTATGTATCCTATATAATTAATTCAAATATAATATATATATATATATATGTAGGGCTATATAATAGGGGTGTGTGTTTCAAATATAATTTTGGCCTAAGTAAGAGCAATTTTGGCTTAACTCCTCTTTGTGCTTTGCACATGTAAATACAAACCATGATTTCCATCCACAGAGTAATCCCAAAAAACATGGATTGATTGTTTGACAGTTGTTTGACCATGGCCTTCGCAGGACATGGGACCAGATGGCAAAGCTTCATCAGGAGCAACGGCTGGGATGGCAGGTGTCTCATCCGGGGTAGTACCAGCACCAACACCATCGGTACACCCAGCATCACCACCAGCCTCCTCCATGGCAATCTTGTCCATGTCGGTTTCCAATTCACGCTCCCTTGGATTGGTAGCGCTGCATGAAAGAGGTATCCCCTGGTATAAAGGATGGATATTGCAATGGGCATTCAACCCCAATAACCACTAGCGGTGTAATCCTAATCAACCGAAAACATAAACAACAAACAAGGGTATATGCCCTATATAGTTCAAAAGATTTAACCAAGAGGATTCGATCAAAAACCATATGGCATATGATATATGCCGAAAAGTGTCAAAACCAGCTTCTCCAACATTTCAATGAGATCTTTTGGTGTTGGTGCATCTGAGACTGGCTCTGGCTCATCATCAGATATCTCAAACACCTGCAGGGTGCTCAAAGAAAAATGCAGAGTAGACTGATCCAGCCAACAGCTCTAGTATATACATGCAGTTAAAAGAATCTATCATATAATTAAACCTCATGGATGATGATAGATGGGAACATCAATATATATCGATGATGGGTGAAAGATGTATATATACAGCACATGAAAAAATATTGTAAATTTCATATCCTGCAAAGTTTTGGGAACCACATGTAACTGCATGGTAGGCCTCCTTCAGATGCGAATCACTGGGTGAAACAAGTAGCTGAGACTGGATTGATCCCGACAAAGTTGCAGAGTTCTGTTCACTTACCGATGGTGGGTCCACCAGTGTGTCACCCAATGGCCCAGCAGGAGGCTCAGAGGCTACAGTGGTGGGGCTCCCAGTAGTGTCAGCACTGGCCAGAAGTGACTCAGCAGAGCCACGACTGGAAGGAGTGGAGTCCGGTGGAGGCCTCGTGATGGGCACCCATGCCTGGCACCGTTCAAGGTGATAATAACCCAAACTTGTTAGATGATTACATGCGAGATGAAGACTAGCATGGATATGTCAAGAACAATAAATAACCCATTTTCATGGTGTATTTCTCACATCATGATCCCTAAAGTTGTTTCGCCATTTGCTTCTGATCCAGAAATGCACGGGTTCCCACAGGTAATGTCGACATGGATCAAACTATAGATAAACCATATTCAACGTTATTTTCATCTATATAGCCTTTATATGCCAGCTTGCCTCTATATTTTAGTTTTGAGTTATATATATATAATACACACCTTAATCTTGACATAGTTGTTCACATGCCCATGAAATGCCACAACTTGGCTTGCTGCATGTTTTGCCAATATTGGTTGCAAGAAGGCAACTACATAGCATTCAATGCGAAATGCTTGAACACATGCTAAGCTCAGTCGCATGCTTTACATGCAAACAAATGCAATTATATAAGTCATATATATATATGCGTTTGCTTTCTTTATTGGACTTGTTTGGAACATGCTTGATTATTCCACTTACTTGATGTTGGACCAATCTTTATAGAGCCTCTGGACCCCAGCAGCTGCCTTGACATCCATTCCAAGCTTTGTGACGAGGCTGATGAAGCATTCATCCTGCGACTTTATGCAATGGAGGACCGCTGGGAAAGGGCTCATGTGGAGATATCAATACATTTGATGCAAATTGGTGGGTCGCATTCACTTTCATGTTCTTTATAGCCACCATATGCATGCATGTATATAGTCCCTCAAAGTTGAAAACATGACAGAGCCATAATAAGCCATATATAAAAATGATGATTTTTACAACTACAGTCCTCAGGAGGATGTTTCCTGTAGCATTGATTCTTGACGACTTGGATAAGTCGCCTCAATGCCCATGCCTGTTGATAGCAATGCTCTAGCAACCTTGGTTTCTTTGCCTTTCGGTAGAGGCAATTGATGCACTGGATCAAATTATCCAAGTTGGGGACTAGGCGATCATTGGCACCCATGATCTCCACTAAAGGCTCAAGCACGATCTGGTTGGCTCTAACAGTCTGTACATTCCCTTCGACATATTTGTCTGTCAGGGTTGTAACTTCACCGTCATCATGGACTCCCCTCAACAAGTTGTGATCTTCCCGAAGACGATCCCGAATGATCTCATGATTGTCCCAAGTCGTAGCTAAGTTCAGAAGATCGTAGTTCCCAACCCGCTCCCGGGGAGATGGAGATGAAGATGAGTGTGGTGAGCTAGTTCCAGAAGAGGATGCCTTCTCCGTTTTTTTTCTCGGCTTGGACTTAGCAGCCCGGGCCATTGCAGCTAACCCTCAGATCCCAAACTCAATGATTTGGATGTGGACACCACCTTGCAGCCCAAATGGCCGCTGCACTGCAGGATCCACAAGTGAGAGTGGCTACATCGATTCTTGGAATCTGCTTTGTGTCGCCAAGCCGACATCTGGACTATATAATGCATATATGCATTGACTGCCAAACTATATGATGTAAATAGGATAGCTTTTTATACCACACCTCTAATATATGAAGATATTTCATATCCGGTGGTTGCCGATGAAATTCATATATGTATGTATAAATTAACTTGGATTAACTCCAGCTGGATGTTTCATTGTGTTTGGCCAAATGATAGAAGTCTGGGTCATATGGTAAATACCCATGCATGCAAGCATGCTTCCCCGGCCCCTGCATGTACAGCAGCTGCAAAAACAAGTCTGGGGTACCAGTGGTGCCATGGAAGCTTTATCCCACATCATTGCTCACCAGTGGCGGGCAAGGTATGGCAAGGGATGGCAAGGGTAACAAAGATTATATTGAGTTGGTCTGTGTTCTTGTTGAAGGGGTTTTGCCATCTAGATGAAATCAATATTGGTCATATTCTATATTGGCCTGCCAGTCTGTTGGTTATGTATCCAAAAAGTTTGATTTAAAATGGCCATGCTGGCATGCGGGGGTCATTTGCACCCAATGAAGTGCCGCTTGATCCAAGATGAGCCTGGCAGCAAAAGGCACCAGCTTCAGCTGATGGGTCCTGATGGTCCATGCGTGTCTTAGATGGGGTATGTTATATATAAATATATATTAGTATATGTCCGTGATCAATTGATATAGCTTCATCTATCTCAATCCAGTACTGGTCTATATAATGAGAGCTGCATGAATCCCGATATATCCAGATCATATATAGCTCAATGCCAATCAACAATGCCATGTCATGACCTCAAAGTTAAGGGGTGCTTTGGATAAAACCTTTATATAGAAATAAGTGGTGATTTGGGATAGGTGCAAAACCATCAGAAATAGGTGCAAAACCATCAGAAATAGGTGCAAAACATTGCCAAAACCATCAGAAATAGGTGCAAAACATTGCCAAAACCATCAGAAATAGGTGCAAAACATTGCCAAAACCATCAGAAATAGGTGCTGTTTGGGTGGATGAATGGATGTCTTGAAATCATGAATTCCCTCTTGAACGGTTTTTAACGGTCTGGAGAATAATTACTCTAATAAGCCTAGAAGAGGCAACATTCCTTTTGAGTTGGATAATAAAACACCTGGAGTTGATCCAGGTAGGTTCCTGCTCTTTTTGTCCAATAGTCAAGTTTCACCCCAGTTCAACGAATCCATGCTCAGAGTTCCTTTCACCCACAATGTCACAAAGCACAGATTCGATGCGTGATGTCCTAGTTTCTGGATGACTTGTGTCATGCACTGCATTTTGTAGTGACACACGCGTGCACAACCTTTTGTAGAACCTACTGCGCCCCCCTCCAGATAAGCCCCAAAAAGTTCGAAAAGCATGCTTTTTATGTAGAGACTTTAAGAAGGAAAAATGGGACAGATTTGGTTTCAAAACCAATCAATTGAAACTGAAGTTGTGCGCTCAGATCGTTTTTGCTGCCCCATAGCATTTCCCCTAGTAAATGCTATGACCCATTTAGTAGCGAATCATTATTTTCATTGCAACCCGTTTTCACTACAAAATGGTTCCGTAAAGTCATTTTGTAGTGACCGACATTGGCTTTTGATCCATCATAAAAACACCCAAACCATTTTGTAGCAAGGGGGGTTGGTTCAGATTCAAGCTTCATTTTGTAGTATAAGGCTGTGTTTGTAAACGGTTTAGTGGGCACAACTTCTCTGCAGAATGCACACAGGGATGTTTTTTTTGTTATTGCCATGTTTGCTTAATCTTCATCAGCCTCCCGAGGGTTCCGTTCCACCATTGGGCAGCCCAGAAATCCAAGCATGTCATATGTTTCCTATGGTGCAACTAGATAAAACCATCCGACTTGTTGTCAGCTTACTGATGTTTACTCTGTGTTTTTGCAGCATCATTTTTTAGGATTCAGAATTGCCAAAGCTGGGTTTTATCTCCTCTGTCATATCTCCAGGTCAGAGATGTGGCCTACATCATCCTATTGCCATCTTTCATGATTGGCTTATGCTCAAAGGCCGCCTGGCTCTTTGTTGTGGGCAACGTGGCAACTTTCGCAACTGCCGCTACTTGGTGGCACCATGTGGCAACGACGACCGTGGTTTGTGTTGCCTGGTGATTAGTAGGGAATGGGGGAATAGGATGAGTGTTAATAGTTATAATGGGTCATTCTCCCATTCCCTACCAAGCACCAGTAAGTCGAACAGTTAGAGCTTTTTGTTGTTTCGCTATGAGTGGTTTTGCTCGATGTTTCAAACTTTGTTTTTGCTAAGTTTCGCAAAGCTGATGGTGTTTGCTTCGGCTACTGAACATATAGAAACGGAGACTTTACAAAGGGGTTCTTGTGTATCTACTATATATACAGATACAGCTCTTGATGATATGTGTCTTCAAATCAAAATTGGAGGTTTATGCCATTTGGGAAAAACCAACGATATAGTATCCATCCCAGTCACAATTCTTGACACGGGCAGCTTCGCCCGCTTCGGCTTGAGGCATACAGGGTAGCTCAGTCGAATGAGTCTGTCAGCATGACTGACATCTTATCCTACGTAGTAACCAGGCTGCATTTGTCCAGCAGGACATGATTGCTCGCAATCTGGCTGACTGGGTGCGTTTTTTTTCACATGGCGGATGTTTGGACGAAATGGACTTCCAAATCTGGAGACAACCTCGACGAAAAATCATGAACTTGAGGGGATTTACAACTGTGCCAGGAAAGACGAGCATGAGTAACCGACCAAATGAGCGGAAGACAAGAGTAGTAGGGTGTGGACTTGGGATGTTCAAATTTGCGTGAAAACCCTCACAGCCGATAGGGGACCACCCACTTGCCGATATCCTATTTTTACACATAGCATTTGAAAGTACAAACCTTCATCTGGCCATGTCCTTTGTAAGTATTTTTGTCCGCCACTCATACAATAATACAATGTTTGTGAATCTACATGTAAAATAGACTTGTAATCTATACCAGTAGTACCGCACAAGGCAGGAAAACTATAGGAGAGGTTGGTTGTTGTGAATCACGGATGGCAGAGCGAAGCCACTGATGGATCGAAAGGTGATTGATGTCTCCTCTCTTTCTCTCTCTTTCTGTCTCTTTCTCTGACTATACCTACCTACCTACCTACCTATCTATCTATGTATCCATCTGTCTCTCTGTCTGTCTGTCTGTCTATCTATCTATTTATCTATCTAATCTAATCTAATCTAGTCTAGTCTAATCTTATCTTATCTTATCTTATCTTATCTTATCTATCTATCTTTCTATCTATCTATCTTTCTATCTATCTATCTTTCTATCTAGCTAGCTAGCTATCTATCTATCTATCTATCTAACTATCTATCTATCTATCGATCTATCTATCTATCAATCAATCTATCTATCTATCTATCTATCTATTTATCTATCTATCTATCTCTCTATCTCTATCTCTATCTATCTATCTATCTTTCTGTCTGTCTATTTATTTATCTATCTATCTATCTATCCATCTATCTATCTATCTATCCATCTATCTATCCATCCATCTGTCTATCTATCTATCCATCCATCCATCTATCTATCTATCTATCTATCTATCTGCAAGCTTAAAAGCGAAGCTATTCTGCCGAGACTTCCTGATTTTTTGCACTTGTCAACGTCAAAAACGAAGCAATTCTGCGAGACTTCCTCATTGTCTGAAGTTGACAACATCAAAAACGAAGCAATTCAGCGAGACTTCATCATTTTTTGAAGTTGGCAACATGAAAAACGAAGCAATTCTGCGAGACATCCTTCAAAAATGGAAAGTTGGGTGCAGAGCTGCCGGCCTCGTACCATTGCATTTGCCATTTTTCCACTCCACCTGTCTAAAGTACTGCGCCTGCCACGAAAAAGTGATGCCAGGTCATACGAAGCGCCGCACCTGTCACGCAAAATCATCTTAACAAACCTACAGATCTGATGCTCCAAAATGCAACCCCTCTCAGGAAATCAGCGCCCTGACCTCCTAACATCTCTGATGAACATGTCTTTTGTACTGCGCCTGCCACGCGACATGCATCTTTGCAGATCCTCTTCAAATGTCCCACCCCTGCCATCGTTTTTTGGACATGCTACAAAACCCTCACGTTTTGCTCACTTTTGACAAGGTGCACAATCCCTTGCGCCCGCCACGCGAAACGACATCTTAACGTCCAAAAGTGGCGCGGACAGGTGGTGTTTTTAACATTTTGACTTCGAAATGTGCTTCGCGCCACAACTCGCAACTTCTAAAAGTGCTCCGAAGCTGAGGTGTTTTGTGCATTTTGACTTCGAAATGTGCTTCCCGCCACAACGGCGTGCACTTTTTCGACAGCTCAACTTCCAAAAGTGGTCCGGACCTGGTGTGTTTTGTACATTTTGACTTCGAAATGTGCTTCGCGCCGCAACTGCGTGCACTTTTTCGACATCGCAACTTCTAAAAGTGCTCCGAAGCTGAGGTGTTTTGTACATTTTGACTTCGAAATGTGCTTCGCGCCACAACGGTGTGCTCCGGACCTGGTGTGTTTTGTACATTTTGACTTGGACATGTGCTTCGCGCCACAACGGCGTGCACTTTTTCGACATCGCAACTTCTAAAAGTGCTCCGAAGCTGAGGTGTTTTGTACATTTTGACTTCGAAATGTGCTTCGCGCCACGACGGCGTCCATTTTTTCGACATCTCAACTTCCAAAAGTGCTCTGAACATGAGGTGTCTTTAGCTTTTTCACTTGCAAATGTGCTTCGTGCCACAACGGCGTGCACTTTTTCATCTCTCATCTGGCCACAAATCATTGGAAAAACCGAGTGTTTCGCGACTTTCCCACCTTTTCGCGCATCTGAGCTTCTTTCTTCTGACTCTTTCTCTTCTCTGATCTTCTCTCTTCTACTCTTCTCTTCTCTCTGACTCTTCCCGTCTCTGCTTTTTATCTGTCCATATTGTCGGAAGTTTGGCTTCTAAACTTCCTTCGATCAGGACAGTATGGATTACATTTATGCTCCCCACACGGTTTGGTATTTATCTTCCACCACAATTTGTTGAGTTCAGAAATAAACTAGACCTGATTTTATTATGCGATTCATTTTGGGATTTCATGATGGTCTGTATCAAGCCAGACTGGGTTGATACATCCGTTATCCCTGGTTCAGGGATAAAGCCATGTTTCAGCAGGGATGTTGAGCACAGCACAGCACCGCTCAGAGCTCGAACGCAAGGCAAGTTGTTTCTTGGTCATTGGTGTTGTGCATGCGATCCGGATGCAGATGATGCAGCCACTTCAATCAGCAAAATGAGTTGGTTGGCAAAGGAATTGGGAAATACAACCACCATAGTTAGTTTGCCAGTATTGCAAACAAAGCTGTGGGATATGATTTCTTTGTGGTTTCAAGAGTATGACTACTAGTACTAGAAATCGGCCTAATGCTGTGGTAAGTAGAATTTGGTGATGTGATGGTTGTGACTATTTTTGTCATTATTATTATGAAATTATGATGTTGTTTGTGTTACGTTTATGATCAAGGTTATGGTTTCGATGGTGGTGATGGTGATGGTGATGGTGATGGTGATGGGTGATGGTGATGGTGGTGGTGGTGTGTTACAATGATGGCTGTAGTCATATCTCAACTAGTCCAAAGGCTGCGATGCTGAAATGCCCACTTTGCGGAAACACAGGAGAGAAGGCATTCAGGAACCGAAACTACACCAGGCAAGTACTACTCAAATAGTCACACTATGTATACATATATAATCATATATAGTTATATAATCTGTTATATATATACATACCCTCCAGTAAACTAACATAGTTATCTTTTAAAATGGTGATTTTCCACAGCTATGGTTGTTTACCTCGTCCATATGTAGATGTTTTTATGGCAGTGCTGAAGATTCGTCCACGGTCCAACTCACACAGTCATACTTGGGATATGCATCGTGGATGGGTTTTATACCGAGTTCTTGGTGCAGATCCATTGACATATTCGTGAAAACATGTGAGATTGGACAGCAACTTGAGGAACGTGAAGATGGGGTTGAGGCTGAAGGTAAGAACCATTGATTTAGAGGCCGTATCAGCCTCTTGGTTGCATGATTTTAGCGTCGCGCTGATACCCGGTGAGACTGGTTGTACATCACGGTGAGCTGGCACATGGATAATCACAGGCGGATCAAGGAAAAAGTTTAATTGAACATATCAAGCATGAACAGCCAAAATCACGAGTTTAAAAAACATCAACAAATCCAAACAGTGTGGGCTCAGATGTCTTCATAGAATGATGGTCGTGTTTAGAAATAACAAAACCATCTGAGATCCAAGAAATGGTTGTCTACCTTTGAGCGGTGTCAGAACTCCACGTCATCAGGTCCTCACCAGATCACCAGGTCCATTCTGTGGCTGTCACGGAAGTCTTAGCTGCCCAAAACAACATCCCAAACTCACATTGAAATACTACAATCAAGAAACCAATTAATGTGCTGATTAGTTCTTCCTGTGATTGTTGTTTACTTTTATAGTACTGTAGACGCCCTTTTGGCAGGTCAGATCGCCAGCAATGTGTGGCATGATGAATAATGTTGGAGCCCATCATGGGCTAATGATGGTCCCATGAGCCCATGATATGCTGGTTGCAAAGCCATTTCTGGTGCTCTATTTTTCGTCCAATTCCTTTTCTGGGGTTGCTGAGAACCCAAGGTTTTAAGCCAAAAAAAGGCGTAGACATGTTCCGTAACATGTTTGGGTGGGTTATGGTTGGTTATGATATTCCAACATATTCCAATAACCATTCCTGATATCAGTCCATCCCCCAAGGTTTATCCCCGGTTGTCAGGCTTTGCTTCTGGGTTTCTGTGACGCAGTAGTGGAGTGTCTCGGCGTCATTGGGGGAAGCCCTACAAGAAGGGTCCCTAGATATTTCTCATGTCTTCGGCTTAAACATCACTTTTGTTCTTCGTTTTTCGGCCAGCACTTGTGCTATGCCCGAAACTCTTTCGGGATTATTGTCGGAACATGTCGGAACCATCACTCTTGGTGACCCTTGCAGTACTTTGTGGCCTTCCACTATGTTGGGATGCTACAATATAACTTGATGGCTCTGGGTTTGCGAACCCAGAGACGTGTTTGATGCCCTCTGCGGGGATTCGGCTGTCTGGCAATATTGGTGTTCGCCAATATTTACATAAACCCTTAAAGAAACCTGGGAAAAAAACAGTAAAAACCCTAAAGAAGCCCTCAGATACAGTAAATTGTCCATTGGTTGGATACCTACCAGGTGGTTGATAGGGGAATGGGATTGCAATTTTTCGTTCGATGAAGTATGAAGTAGCCAGCTAGTTCGGAACCAGCTGATCTCCTGAATTTCCGAAGCCCTTTATTTCAACCACGACATGCAGGATCATGTGGCTGAAGCCGTCCCACACAAGATTTCTATGCCCAAGAACTATAGTGTAAAGAATGTTGTTCAGGTTCCTGACATCATCACCATTAAATCCCATTAAATCACCATTAATTAAATCCCATTAAATCACCATTAAATCACCATTAAATCACCATTAAATCACCATTAAATCCCATAAAATCAAAAAAGTAAGCCCCAATGAGATTCTCCCATTTTTCCATCACTTTTCCTATCAAGACCTTGGGGGCCTAGGACTGATGAGAAGCTTCACTTGACAGAACCTTGGCACCAGACTTACGGGAATTCACCACATCTGGACCGTAGAAAGGGAGCTGCTTCAAGACTGATATGAGATCCATTTCCAGCATCATGTAAGTTGAATATGTATGAATATGTAAAGTTTATATAAAGGTATCACGCCCCCTTGGCCCAATGGCTTTGTTGGTCATTGAGACGTAAGACGTTTTTTCTCTTTATGGCAACGAGTCACCAGGAATTCATACCAGACAGTTGAATCCAAACAGGTCTTTGGTCAATGGGAATTCCAGGATCCAATTTATGGAGGTACTGTACCATATAAGGCCATATTTTGTGGGGATATTCCCTGAAATTTAGGCCTTATATAGGCCTTATATATGGTTGGTACCTCCAATTTAGGATCCTGGAATGGCCATTGATTTGGGATTTTCGGTGAAACTACCAACCACCCTGAAAGCATCCAGTGACATGATCGAAGCCAAGGCATCCAAGGCCGAGGCCCTGACTTTTCAGCGAGAAGGAATCATGTTTCAAACTAATCTTCAAAATCAACTATGGGATGGAAAAATAATGACAAATCTCCTCATACTCATCAACTATGGTAAATTAAAATTATATAGTTATATAATGTTATATACCACTGTATCTCTATATATATATACAGTTATTATACCGCTACATGCCCAGTGGATCTCCCCTGGCTTCGCCATGGACGCCATGGATTCGATCACAGGAAGATTCCCGGCAGCTTTCGACGATGCTCCTGCAAGGCGATTCACCGCACGGGCGCGCGTAGCGGCGTAGCCTAGCCTCTGGTGTTGGAAAACTTCCGTTTTTGTGCTGGAAAATGCATCATTTGACTTATATCATATATCTATTTATAGTATATCTATACAAGGTATAAATGCGTATAAACAGGTTTTGTTCCCATAGAACAAGCTTGATTACCGGAAAATAGCTCTTGTAACGTATATATTGTGCAGTGTGATGTAGAAGTGATAGGGCCACTAAGAAACTTGTAGAAATTTGCCTATCTGTTCTTTGCATGTTTTTGCTGCGTCCCTGACCATCTCACAGGAAAAACATGAACGTTCCACAAAAATTGGAAAGTTACCCTTCAGGAAACCTGCCATGATTCATCTCAGTTCCAGTATAGTTAAATGGGATGTACCCCCTCATGGACACGATTTTCAAATATATTGTAGATATTTGTAGAGATAATAATCAATGTATTTCGAGGATTTTGGAGGTAACCAATTTTCAGACCAAGCCGATCAACTTTCGTTCGTGCACTTCGTGACTTGGTCGACAGGGCAGCGTGGGCGCGGGGATTTGGATGGAAGTGATCTCCTGAGTTTCTTTTGCATCGAAGATCGGGAACACATCAGGCGCGATCTGATTGATCTGCTGATTTGGTTCCAGAAATTGAGTATATCTCCTTACCCCAAGTAGATTTTAGGATAGAAGACCTAGGCTGGCACATGTTTTGGTCACATACTTTTGGGACCAAAAGAGGGACCTTTTGGGATGGAACCCCGTAGATTTGAAGCAGCAAACATGGTCTGGTTGGTGGTGCTTCGAACCATTCCCAACAATATTTGAGACGGTAAGACATGACGAGCGTATAATGTGTTGTTCATGTTTGGCGGATTCGTTGAAACAACCAGATGGCAGCTGCCCTAAGAAAATCTTAGGGAGAATCAGCCCAAACATGAGTAATGGCATGCAATCATGGGGAGTGCGCCAATCAAAGGTGGGCGATTCATCAAGCAACATGTGCTAGGCCACCAACGCGAGGAACTGAATCCAGCGGGTTCCTGTGTGGACCTGGACATGCCCAGGTGTTCCCAGTTGGATCTCACTGGGGTATCATGTTATTGTATGCTACGGCTGTAAGAATGTACACACATACACACACATACATACATACATTGCATTATAGATTAGATTATATTATATTACAGTACATTGCATTACAGTACATTACATCACAGTACATTACATCACAGTACATTACATCACAGTACATTACATCACAGTCCATTACATTACATACATACAGATTTTATATGATTTTATGGTATATGGATGTGTATATACATCATTTGCTTTCCATGAACTTTGTGAAACAAAATTGTATATCTGTGGTGGACACGCTCTGATTCCTGAGCACTTTCTCGGCGAAGGTGACCATCCCTCACGGGTCGTTCCTTTCTTTTAACGTATCGGGTTCCGACGGGAGGAAACAGGTTTTTTTGGCGAATGATTTTTTCAAACGTAGCCTATTTAATAGTAAAGAAACATGGCTTGCTGGAAAATCCACTATTTACAGATGTTTTTCAAATGAAAACCTCCGTTCATAGGGAATTTCCCAGCCATGGTTGATGACACCGGAGGGTACTTGTGTTTTCGCAGCCAGTATTGGTGACATCGCCCGCAGGCGGTCCTTGAAAGCCAACAACAACAATACAACAATGGCGCTGAATGCTCGCATGCTGGATTCTTTGGGCTCCTTTGCCGGATTGTGGCAATGGAAGGGTGGGGAAATGAGGTGTGAATAACTGTGGAATCGAATCCGGGAGCCTACTTTCAGACAAGAAACTGAGTTGAGTCCCTGCAATAGATTTCCAAAAAATGATGAGTGGAACTGGTTTAAAGGATTCGAGGTAGTGTGTGGAGTACAGAGACAATTTGAACAACAGTCCACACATGTTTTTTTTTCGACTAAAAGGGTATGTAACTATGATTAACTATGTACCTCTAAATCCTCTGGTTTATCATCATTGTCACCTTTGAAATGCCATGAATACGCATACTTGATATCATTTAGAGATAAGCTTAGGAAGTAAATTCAAGATGTTGAGTCATAAGCATTTGCATTATTGTACCACTCATGAACTCTGCAACATCTTTGAGATCAGCAGCCACTTTGAATCAAGCATGGAACATGCCCAGTGCGGGACCAACCAAGGTTAGGTGGGATTATACTACAATGATGAGTTTGGATCATTGCAAAAACAGTGATTGCACTATATTATATTCCCATGGATTCCCGATTCCCTATAGGCCCTATAAGACAGCTTTGATACATTGATCCCATTTGGTCCCTATAGTCCATTATTTTCTTTTCAGATGGGGATGGTAATACATAACCTTTTGTCGGCTAGATTTCGCTTCACTTCACCAACAAGGATGAAAAAAACACAGGAACATCAGGACCCCAATTCCCCTATATGGTGACACCAGTGGGTGAATTCAGGCAAATTAACAAACAATTTGTTCCACTTGCGAGGAAACACGCTTCGGGTAGAATTGCTGCACATCCAGTTCAGCAACTCCGATGGTGAATTGTAGCTTGGCGAGACCCCGATTTCAGCTGCGATGGAATTGAACATGGGAGATCTTGATCTCTTGCCAGCCATTGTATCTATATTTATATGATTATTTTCATATTATTATATAATGATGTGAATATTATGTATATATATATGTAGGTGTGTATAGTTGTGTATATATCTTTATATATAATAATAAACATTCATAGATATATTATAATAGTTATATGTATGACGAACCGAATTCTTCCTCAGTTTTGACTTCAGCCTCGGCCATATCCCCATCCTGACCTCGCTGGTCCAGGTGTCATTTGGTGGGCATGAGGGAGTTTCAAGACGTTGGCGTACCCCAAGTGGACGATTGCCGCAGCCCCAACCTTCTATGGGACCAGGCGCGACATCCGACCAGTTGAGCTATGGAAAATACCGTGAACTTTGGTAAAGGGGAATGATCCTACCTGGCTTATTGATGATTTATTGGGGATGATTATAACCTCGTAACCAGCTAGTAGAATGAGATGGGATAGGGGTAAGTTTGATGGCCCAGTTCCCAAATCAACATGGTTTTCCCTATGGGATTTGCCTTCTGTTGTTTCAGTGTATGATTTGGGATCTTGGATCGTTTCAGTCCAAGAAAATATGATTACATCATATTGCATCCAAAACTACAGATAGAATGTCAGATAACAGCTCAGAATATATATGTCAGATAGAATCGAACGTTAGATAGAATGCCAGGTTATTTTTCAGATAGAGTGTCAGAGAAGATGTCAGATAGTAGGTCAGAATATACGTCAGATGAAATGTCACATAGAATAATTATATGATATGTGTAAGGATATAAGCCACAGTGGGGGTCACATGAAGTGACGTATTTTCAAATTTCTTGTAATATCCTCATGGTTGATTAGACATCAGCTTTATGTATGAATATATATATATATATATTGTTCATAGTCTAACAAAAGTTATTTGGATATGATGCCCCACCTTGTATCATTATACAGAAGGCGGTCACTGGTGTTTATACGGTGCCTTCATTGCCCACTATATAGATACTACAGCAAAGGGGGATACCTAGATTGCATATGCATAGAATCAAATACATATCACACACATACACACATATCACACACTACATACCTGTAGATGAACATATGCATGATTTCACACCCTCACTGCTGGTGAATTGTAATTTCTAATTCTTTCCGACGTTCTGTGTATATATATATATAATATGTATGTGTACAAATGCAAACGGTATTATGTACTTTTGCAACTTCACATTCATATGGAAAAGATCATGGACAGCGACAAAAATACTGAGGCTGTGCAAGAGATTCTGCGAAAGGCAGCGCCGCGTTGGTTTGATGGCTTCGCTCTGGGAATTTTTGCTGGCAACGTGAAACATGAATGTATATATATATAATGCAATTATTGAATTTTACATAGTGACATAATATTACGTGTATATATACATATGTTTATATATATATATATATGGTCACGCGCTCATGGGGGACAGGTTTCTGCACATGGATGTTTAAATATATGTGGGTTGTAATTATAATATCTAGTGCCTTTTTGTTCAATGGCAATGGTTGATTCATTTTTTTTGTCCAACCACTTCACCCCCTGGTTTGATCTGGTTTGCTTCACCCTATCATTTGCTTCACCCTTTCATGCAGCCAATAATGCCTACAACCATACTTGTCTTGGTTCACATCGAGAAAAGCAAACAAAACCAGGGAAACAAAAAACAACTTCAGCAAAACCAAAAGAAACAAAAACAACACTTTTGAGAGGATGTGGTTTTGACTCAAAAGATTGTTATTTTTAGTTGTCCTTAGTTTTGTTTGATTTTTGGTTTTGAAATGGAAAAAAAACATGGATTTTGTTGTTGTTTTTTTTAATGGATATCTCAAAAAAAACAAAACAACTCATTGTTTTTGGTTTTCCAACATTTTAGGTTTGGTTTTCCGCATTGAATAGTCTCATAAAACAAAAACAACACTGATTTTTTTTTGATATCTTGATTGATCATATCCATTCGTTTTTTCCATCTCAAAACCAAATAACACCAAAAAAAACTAGGGAAAACAATCTCTCAAAAACATGTTTTTAGTTTTTTGGTTTTGCTGGATTTGTTTTTCTTGGTTTGTCTATTGATTCACATGATTGCCATCTGTGTCGTTATGCTTGCTTACCTTACCGGTCCTGGGAAGTCAAATTTTGATCAACATTTCTTACTTAAGAGCTTGCGTACTATGTGAGACTAAGCTTGGCATAGGATGTGCTGTGATGTTTATGCACGTGAATCCTGTCTCAAGATCTCTCCTCAGGATTCAGTTTTTCAGTTTTTCAGTTTTTGAGTTTCTGGTTTCCAAGATTTACCCAAAGAGTCCTGTGCAAATCTTGGAATCTTGGATACATGCATACACATTCCTGTCTAGGTTTGACATATTCAAACAAAAGCAGAAGTACCTGGAAACTGACACTTTGGGATAATTGGGGGGGAATGGTGGGGTATTTCTTTGAGAACGTGTAACATTGCTTTGTAACAGAATGCTTTAATAGATTTAATAGATGATTCAGGACTTTGAAAGAGTCTTACCTGTAACCTGTAAAGAAAGTCCTTCATTGGATGCAGTATTTGATTCAAAGAGTACCGGACACATTGCGCAAAATAGTTGAGGCCAGTGGGGCATGGTGTAAAAAAACGTACTCTTCCTGTGTAGTAGAATGCGTCAGTAGATGCAGTAGTAGTACTTTGAAAGAGTTTTACCTGTAAAGAAAGTCCTTGAAAGAAAGTCGTTGAATGGACGCAGTACTCTTTTGATGTGTGTTGTATTCTTAAGCACGTGTAGTAGCGCTGCATCACTCTTTACAGTTTTCCATTACCAAAAGTACGAGAAAATGGAACATTGCTTAAACTAGCATACTTTGCAAGACTCTTTCATGGGCGCAGCATTCCTTCGAAAATGCCAACAAACGTGTGAGGTCCCGTTAAAAAGGCACAGAATTACTTCAACAAGAAAGCTCTCTTAGTCTATGCAGTATTCATCGGAAACCGTATACAATATATTTAGAAAAGAGTTGTAGTGTAGCATTACTTTTGTTCCATTGCAAAGAGAGTGATACATTCCTTGAAAACACCGTGGGGCATTCCTTCAAGAAAATGCAACCTGCTTTGGAATAGAATGCATCAATAGATATAGTAGTACCTGGAGAAATTGTTAGCTTCAAAAACACTCCCTGAACGGATGCAGTACTCTCTTGAAATAGTCTTCTGAAAGAAGTGTAGAAGTGTATGCTACACTTGTTGCAATATTCCATCAAGACGAGTAACACATTTCTGGCAAATAGATGGTGTAGTATTCCTTGGGAAAGAACAGAATCATAGTGGAACATTCCCATTTTCAATGCGCAGCATTACTTTACTATAGATGTATTTAATGGATGATATTTTGTTATTGAATCGTGTAGTGTAGTAGTACAACATACGTATGGTTGTTCAACAGTGTTGTATCATGACTGTTCTTTTAAGAGGGTGTAGCAGTAACATAGTGGGTAATACCCTGCAAAGAGACCTTCAAAATTTGCAGTTTTCCTCTAGAAAAGGATGCCACCAGGAAAAAAAAACAGTACTACTTGAGTCCTGAACTCAAAACTTCCTGACAAATGACAAAAGTCCCTTCAAAAACATCTTGAAAACAAGACAAGTAAAACTGTCTCAGATTCTGTGGTGAAATGTTGCATCAATCAAAGGCAAAGAAATGATAAACACATTCATTCATACCTTGTATTTGGCCACAGTGCCATGCCGATATTATACATGTTTGAACTTCAATGACCTGCTAGGGTCACAATTGTGTATATCATGTGTGTACGTCATTTTGTAGTGCCACTCCTTTCTGAAAAGGTACTGCTGTAGTGCTACAACAAGTGATACAGTAATATAAGCAGTAAGAAAAGGGATGTCAAGGACATATCTGCTACCCAAAAGATAGATCTTGGGGGGGAGCTACGGCCTTCATGTTGTTGAATCACGTATTTTCACGTTTTCAAGTGCACAGTGATTGAAACCTGCAGTACTTATCAAAGCAAAACATGTCGGCCATAGGTATTGGGGGTGCTAGCTAGTGCGCAGTAAATCTTTTATCTTCCTCAAGCGACGTCAACCTTTTTTATGAGCAGAGAGCACCAAAAGGGTCTTGCATAGTGGTCAAATGTGGGCCATGGGGAAAGATAAGGTAAAACCTTCGTTGGGAATAATTGGGGTAGATCGTGGGGGGGTCAGCATATGTATATATATATATATGTAAAAACACCGGGATGAATCTTAATGACCTCAACGTGACGTCACTGGAATGATTGTTAATATGGGGGATCATTCCCAAATGGCTTTATTTTTAACCATTTTCATGTTAGTGAAGTCTTATGATTCAGCCAGTAAGACGTATGTATGTATGTAATGTAATGTAATGTAATGTAATGTAATGTAATGTATGTATGTATGTATATATACATATGTAATGTAAATGTAAAATGTAAATGTTGATGTTAATGTTAGTGTTAATGTAATGTAATGTATGTTATGTTGCGTTGTGTTATGTAACGCTATGTGACGTAATATAAATGTAAATGTCATGTAATTTAATGGAATGGAATGTATGTATGTATGCTTTACCTATTTAGGAACGGAAATTCAAAAGGAGAAAACAACGCATATCTATAGACGATCTTCCTGGTTGAACATGGGATTCAGTATTTAAAGGAAAACGTATCAATAGATCATGATAGATCATTTACCGTTGAATAATGGAGATGCAATTCAACATGGGAAAAGACAAACACATATCCATAGATGTTTCCTTGATTGAACATGGGGATTTAATACGGGAAACAATTTATGTATATCCAAGATGATTTACCTGCTGAAAATGGAGATTCAATTCAATATTGGAAAACAACAAGATAAGTATCTCTAGGTGATGAAGCGTGTGAACATGGGGACTACTTTGATTTTGGTATGTAAATGTTTGTCAGGATCTTTGATTGGGAAAGTACCCTGATTGTATCCCAGGTTTCTCATTGGTTTCATGTTTTTCTTTCATGATGGTTTTTTAAACTGGCAAAAAACGTATCCACTGAAAGAGAGAAAACCAAATGTAACACCATGGAATCTGGTGGTACTTTCGAAACGCACCATGACCTGACCATGAATTAAGTGACGTATTTCTCAGTACATCCATAGCTTTGGTTTTGTTTTTGTTGTTTTCCCAAGGAATGAAGAGTGTTATGATATTTGTTGTTGCTCTTGTTGAATGCGTTTTATTTTATTTTTTTAAACGTCATTACTGTCAACAACTCAAACGACATCATATAAGACTGATGTTGCGGCCTTGCGTGCCACCTGCCGTCGACTTGGAGGCAGACACCTCGCTGATGTTTGATGCCAGCACCTTCGATATCCTCACTGTCAGTGACGGTTTCCCGTCGACGAGGGCTGTACCAACTGCACAGAGCCATCACGTCACATCATCACATCGCATTGTATTACAGAACATTCCAGTACATTGCACTGCATGCAGACGTACAGGTGAATTTGTACCACTATATATAATGTTGTATCCTGATTAGTGGCTAGGTTCGCTATTGTGCCAAGAAAAACAAATTATTCTGCACCCATGCATTGTTTGGAAGGTTCACTATTGTGGCAAGAAATCTTGGGATGCCTTTTGTTTGTGAAAAATTAACAGCGTGTAATTACTGAGGCAGACTTTTTTTTAAACACTACAAGTGCCAAACATACTACAAATACTAATTACAAGTAATTACAAGTAATTACAAGTAATTACTACAAGTACTACAAGTACTACAACTACTACAACTACTACAACTACTACTACTACTACAACAACTACTACAACTACTACTACAACAACAACAACTACTACTACTACTACAGTTACTACAAGTACTACAAATACTACAAGTACTACAAATACCACAAGGTCATCGGCAAAAACAGTTTTAATTAGATTTCAATTGTAGCCAATTGAAATCCTTACTTAAGTGCGTTTTTTTTCCTGGGACACAACTTTTTGGCACCCAACTTTAAAGAGGGTATAGCTATTGTTGAGTTTGGGGGCCTTACACTAATCAGGACGAAACATTACATGTGAATCGTCAACCAACTCCAATCTGTCCACGGCATGTTGGTTGGTTCCAAGCGTCGGTCCGTAGAAGCAATGCCTACTTTGTCCCACTTGGATCTTCATCCAACTCAGAAACCCATTAAGGCCCCCTTGATGGCTTGGAAACCATTACACAAACATACAACATATTACAATATACATATATATATATTATATATATAAGTTTAAAAGAACATAACAAACAAAATAAAAATAAACAGATCAGAATGCCCGGGGTGATTCATTTTCAATGATCAAGTGTCCTGATTTCTCAACAGCTCAGAAAGCCCTCAGGTTTCCAGCTCTTCAGTCAGGCAAATGGACTGGAAGAATGTTTCTTGGTGGAAAATGACCAGGAAAAAAACTGGAAATCAAATGGAAGCCACTGTAATCAATAGAAAGATAATAGGGACATGACCATGTCTTCAAATGGGGAACACGTCCCCAAAATGGCTATTCTATAATAGGGAAAATACGACAATTCATGGATCCAATCCAGAAACAAAACCATCAACATGCAGGGTTGTACTCTTTCATACTCACGCGCGGCAATCGGGGAGCTCCCATAGAGGGTATGGAGTTTTATTCATGGGATCGTCAGGGGTCACTATGAGTAGGCGTCTTGTAACAAAAGAATCCCCGTCATTGACCGGCACCGATATGAGGTATTGTCACCACGGTATGAACCTATGATGCCATTGGGCGATAATCCGGCTTTATCAGCTCTAAACTGGTTTTGGGTTGGGTATTGATCCATAGCCAAAAGAATGTAACTCAAGTTTGGCCCAGTTTGAACCAGAGATTTACTGAACATTTGGTGAACTTTGTTTGGATGCATACAGTTGTTGTTTCATATGTGTGGCTAATCCCAGCATTTTTGTCACAGGACATCCCAATGGTGGGAAGCTTAGAAGCCCGTCTGCCCCCAGTTTCTCAACTGAACCACGAACCACAAAGAAAAAAAAGGCTGGAATCTGGTTTTGGACAATCCAGGAATGTTGTGGTATATACTCCCAGTTTCACACCATTCCATGTCTCGGAATATCATTTGCAGGCTGTCAATCCTACATTTCCCTTTGGAAATTGAACATAGCTATGAAAGATTATGAAAGCATGGAAGCCATGACCCATTTATATAGATCCATTTGGTTCGAGGATAGATCCATATCAACAAGGGTGAGTCCAGTTCAAAAACACTTCACCGTGTTCCATGGTTTGTTGGAATCCGGACTCTCACCAGGCTTTGAAGGCTTAAGTGTCTTCAATTTGTGCACAGAGACTGGACCCCAATCATTTACGTGCCGCATGCAAGATGCTGCCGCTTGGACTCAGTTGTTACATGTTTTGACTGGCTTGGTGATGGGTCAAAAGCCTAATAAACCCGGATGGTACCCAGTCAGTCATAGCTGCTAAATGGATTGCTATTCAATATTAATTAATAGACTAATATCTAATCATCCATTATATGGATTTATATGGTAATACAATTGTTATTCAATGCTATCCAAACATGGTAAGTTCGTAGGTAACTTGACCCGTCTCCATTTAAGTCCATGGATGAAAAGTGGACAGAGATCGCGGACGGATATGTTGTTGGCCTGTCGATTTACCGTTTGTATAAAGCCATGTTAGACATAATTTAATTATCAGATATCAAACATCATCAAACATAATTATATAGAAGTATACCATCAAGTTTTCAGATTGCAATATTTGCACAGTCTAGAGTAACTCAGACCCAGACTTTCTTGCTGCATACCCAGCCCTGCCCTACCGGGTACGATGTAGGTGAATGCTTTCGATGAGACTGCTTCTTGCCAAGATGTGATTTTCCTAAGCATCTTGCCTCAGTTCAGGGGCCTTGGAGCTTTCCCATGATGATAATAATGCGGTGTTCTGGGTCGGAAATACAGCAACCTGAAGCAGATGACTTTTCCTATGTCGTGTTCGCCATATCATTGAGTTGTGTTTTGAAGAATCTTCTAGGCTCATACCAGCGAGGACGTTGTACATGTGCCTTCCGGATAATATGATGTACCAGTCGTGTCTTCCGGGGCCATGTTCGCTGTGAATTGGAGGAAAAGGATCATGTTTACCCTCTGGTAATTTAACATAGCTATTGAACATTACCATTTATAGTGGATTTTCCCATTGAAAATGGTGATTTTCCATAGTTATGTTAGTTTACCAGAGGGTAAGCTTTTGAAAAAAAAAAACTAGCCAGGACACATGCACAGATTACATGGGTTTTCTCAAGTATGTAGATCAAGTTGATAAAACATGGGTTTGTGTCAAAATGGAGGATAACAAACGAGGAAAATCTGCGGTCCAGAGGCTATTCAAATTTGACCGGTATTGTCATTCAAATTGGTTGCATGCAGATGTGTTTCTGGCCATTTGGTGAAGTCGGGAGGATTCAAGTTAAAGTCGAGATTGCAAACGGCTGTGATTTATTCTTATCAATGACCGAGCATTATGAGCCAAGTCGATATGAACTTCTTGCAGTTTTGGGCTGAACGATTTCAGTCTGCCTCCCTTTGCGTTCCCAGTCTTTTATGCATATCCCCACGTTTACCCTAACACATCGCCAGTTTCGGATAGGTTTCAAGCCAACTAATATAGTACATTTATATACATATATGTCTATATAATTCTATCTATATAATTCTATATATATATAACATATATAATATGATATATATACAATATATATAATATATAATATATAATAGTTAATATATGATATATAATAATATAATATATAATTATATAATATACAATATATAATATATAATATATAATATATATATTATATATAATATATAATATATATCATATATAATATATAATATATAATATATAATATATAATATATAATATATAATATATATCATATATAATATATAATATATATCATATATAATATATAATATATAATATATTATATATAATATATAATATATTATAATATATATATTATTATATAATATATAATATATATTATTATATAATATATAATATATATTATTATATAATATATAATATATTTTTCTATAATATATAATATATTATTATATAATATATTATTATATAATATATAATACATTATAATATATAATTATATAATATATTATTATATAATATATAATACATTATAATATATAATTATATAATATATAATTATATAATATATAATTATATAATATATATATAATACAATATGCTTAATATAATATATATATATACATATCTACACACAGCGCAGTCAAGCACAGGCCACCTTTTGCTAGAATGCAGCCAAGGCCATATGACCAGTCATGTTCGAATGCCCTCCTTTCAAAGGAAACAGCGACAGAACAGTTGCAAAGTTGATTCCCAAACACCAACCCATATGGATGTATGGAGTACACCTTCACATATTACATTATATATATATATATACATCCGTACATATATATATATATATATACATAGGGGTATATATGGTCCCGTGTCCCGTGTTCCCACCCCCCCCCATGGGATGGGGGGGGGTATGATGCCCCTGTGGTGGTGTATATACATACATACATACCTACATACCTACCTACCTACCTACATACCTACGTACATACATACATACATACCATTACATTACATTACATTACCTTATTACACCACATTATACAAAACACAAACATTACCACACACACATACATACATACATAACCACACATACCACCACATACCAACATACCAACATACCAACATACAACAGGCCACAGGGGGGAGAAGAACCATACCACCACCACAGGCCACAGGGGGGGGGGGGGACCAGAAGAACCAGACGATACTGTCCACCCATACCCATTGGTGGGGGGGGGGAGGGGGGGTGGCCAACGCTGCACCATATATATACATACATACATATGGTTATATACACCCTTTTCGTTCGTCACATGGCAATAGATCAAAACCAGGCACCCTGGGTTTCACATCAAAATTGTTTGTGTCATGGATGTTCATCCCTTCCTTCATTTAGGAATATAGATTTACCGCGATTTCCACATAAGTTTTAGGGCCATTGACATTGTGTTGCTTATATAATCTGTACCTGCCCATTATTGTTGATTATTCAATGCATACCAGTTCTATCCCACCTTAGTTGATAATCCTTCCAAGACCCGTCCAGCATGTCCGCGTGTCAGGAAAGGTCGAGTTGTTTGGTCAAGAAGTAGACCTCGTCGTGAGCTTCCAGCAGGACGATGGCGAAATGTGTGGAGACACGCAGAACCTGCTGGCAATCCCGGCACTGCGAATTGATTTTGCTTGGGGCTGATTCAGAGCTAAGTCCACACAGTGATCACCTGAATCTTTTTAGCTGGGGTAAAGTCCCAAGAGTGATATATGAATCATTTGCTATGAACAACTGTTGACCCATCATTGATCCGAAAATTTCGGTTACGAATCGCTGCCAGCCTCGACACAATCATCCAGTAACAGTTCGAAATGTTTGACCTGAACGAATCGGTCGTGTTGAACACCAGTGTTTTGGGCTCCAAAAAATTGACTGGTCCCCACTGGTCCCCTAAATATCCGCAAAACTGGAGGAATCATCCCACCTTACGGGACGAACGGGTCTTGGCCTGACGACAGGACTCGGTTCTGAATACCCTTGTGGGAAATGTCGTCATTATTTCCGACTCTGTCTCTTGCCGACTCGTGAGTCGCTGGTGTTCGCTATCTGGTAAGCTGATATGGCTGGAAGGCCACAGCCAACATCAGCCAACTGGGTTTGAAGCAATCATGAAGCAATCAAACGTTAGCCGTAAATATCCGTAAATTCTAAGTTCGTAAATGCCTTGGATTTGGAGTCTGATTGAAGCAAAAAGCTGGCATTCTGATGCCATATTCTGCCATTGAGTAATTCACCAAAATTCATGTTTTTTTTGCATGTATAAATCATATATAAATCACTGACTGCATTCATGTACACCATCGCCATGTGTCAATGCTGCATGCAATTTGTGTACCATGATGTCCTGGAATCGCAACCCCCAGAAACCGTGGTTCAGTGGGGATTTATATACATTTTTTGGGACCATACAATCGGTTTAAGATTATATAATCAGCTGGGGCGGGATTACGTACGGCATGTGTTTAGCGCTGTTTTGATTTTCTTGCTCTTTGACTTACTTGTGTTTCTCATGCAACAGTGTACGCATATGCCGCAATGCCCGTCCTTTAGCGGCGTGTCTTTTCACTTCCCTTGTGTGCCAACGTCATTCTCAACGCCGGGTTATGGCTCAATTTTACTATTCCTGTTTTGTTTTCCCACCCAACAGAGATGACGGTAACAAAGATAAAAGCTAAAGTTGTGTGAGATACTCAATAGATCTCAATAAAAACAGATGAACCATTTGAATGATAGTGGTTGATCATTCTGTGGTAATGTGTGGTATACCTATCTGGATTCATCCGGACAGGGTGAATCAACGGGGGGTCCCAGCCAGCGTTCTGCCGCTTTCCTTAGGACCTGCAATCAGAAATGCTTCTGGCGTATCAAAGCCAAGCAATGCGACGATTCCCAAGCAACAACAGTAGCATAGGCGATGGCGGCGAGATGAACTGAGATGTCAAATATGTAGGTAATTACATTAGTGTAAATTATTGTGGAAATTACAATGTTGCTAATTCTGTACGATATAATATTATATATATACATACATACAATACATATACAGATACGTATGTGTACATATATATATAATTATATATATATACACGGATATATATATATATAATATGTATACATCTATACAAGGTATCACGTAGATTCTAGACCCTGTATCTGCATGGTGTGTGATTTATTATTGTAACTGATTGCATACTATTTATTGTATGATCTATCCATTATCTATCCTATCAATATATACACAAATATACATACCTAGTACACACGGCTTTTTTTATAACCAAGAAACATTGGTACACGTAGAGTACAACGGAGATTCAATACAACTTAAATCCAGCCGAGCTGTGAACCTGAATAGATGGATGGTTCCACACTTATATACTCCCATACAATGTGTATATATATACATATATATACATATATATATATACATATATATATACATATATAAATACATATATATATATATACATATATATATATACATATATATATATACATATATATATATATGTACATATATATATATGTATATATGTATATATATATGTATATATATGTATATATGCGTATTGTTTTTGTTCTATTTATAGTGTATTGTATTGATATATGATAATATATATATACATACATAGTTATGTGTGTAAATTTGGGAATGGAGGAGTAACATGCATAACTATAGTAGCTACTGTTTGTTTGACCGCTAGTGCTTCGTTTCAGCGGTCGAAACCACTGACCTTCACCATTTTTTCTGGCAATCTGTTGTATATTCTGACCGTTGAAAATACCCAGTCAATTGTTGCGTTTCTAGACTATGATGATTATGATTATATATAATGAACATATATATGATTATCATTTCACAATTGTTGTATATCATTGATTATGATGATTATGTTCCTATTATTGACCAGCGAGATGAATCTCCTTGCCATATTGGATTGACTCATCGTATTTCCTCACGACCTCTCAGACTTTCTGAAGAAGGCAGCTTCAGCCATCGAAACCCGGAACCAGATCTCGGAACCCTTCCAGTGGTTCGGAAATCGTGGAAACATAGAACATGCAGTCTGGTTTGGATAATCCTCAAACACCTGGGACGGTGGATACACTCCAGCCTTTTTGGGCTGGTTTCATGGTATTGATAGATGATTTCGCTTGGTATTCTGAAGCCACGAGGATTTCGCTGCACATTTGGAATTTCCAAGGTTGCCATGTTTTTAGGTACCCCGAGAGTACCCAGATCATCCCAAATCTACGACCTTGTAGGTCAACTTGCCACCACTGCACCAACGCAGTCAGGAGGTCCTGCGGGGGTACAAGTCGTCAGCTCACAGACGACTTGCAATCTTAGTCTAGAATGTAAACAATCATATATAAAATCATAGATGATATAATCATAGATTCATAGATAATCTTGTATATAATCATAGATAACCATTGATCATCATTGAACATAATTGATAATCATAGAGTCTATTCATCTCGGGGCTGCATAAATTAAGTAGAAACATAATATTGTCCAATCTCACACCGTATTTTTCTGATTCATTGAGAAACTCTCCATGAGGAACTGATAGCTGGGCTTCAACTATGTTCAACCGATCTTCAACATTCCAACATATTCCATTACTATTCAATCACTATTCAGTTCAACATATAGCTGAAGCAACTTTTCTAGATGGAACAACTATTGTATATGTTGAACATTCCATTACTATTTCAACATTTGTTTTTGTTGCCATTAGTTTGTTCCAGGAAGTGGGACCATAATTCTTTTGCCATGATTTCGGACAGGGCTGACTCCAAGCATGGTGATGGGTCACAGCATCGGAGGCCTGGTGCGCTGGGGAAACATGGCGGAAACTGGTGAGCCAGAATAGGGTAGCCATAGACCCAAGAAGAAAGTGTTGCAATGTGACGTGTTTTTTTTGAATTCGATCCATTAACAAAAAATGTGTAGTGTGTTTTTTAATGATGATCGATTAGAAAAGACTTGTTGTGTTTGCAATGCTCTGTGTTTTTGAATGTAATGATCCATTAAGCAAAACAAGTGTTGTTTTTGTTTTTGAATTTAGTGATCTATTTGAAAAACAAACCAGTCAGAGTTGTTTTTTTGGAATTTATATTATATAACTATATAAATGTTGTTTGTTCTCTTCTGGAATTTAACAATCCATTAGAAAATAAAGTGTTGTCTCTTCTCTTTTGGAATTTAACGATCCATTGGAAAAATGTTTTTTTTTTTGATGGGGAGGCAGTAAATTGATAATGTGGTAAATCCAATAGAAAGCCATCCCCAATAGAGGTTTATGAAACTGGAAATTAACTGTATTTGGAATGATTGATGTAATACATGACCTCGATTTATGGCATTCATGGGTTTATCATGGGATGGTTCCACATGAATTCAGTCCAGGCCATGGGGGTGTTAACATAGTTAACATACCAGCCATTCTGACATGATCATTGTATGAATTGTATGTGTAGCATTGTAAGAATCATGAAATATACTTACCAAATGTTACTAGTATGGATCAGTATGGTAATGATAACTCATGATACATTAACCATAGTACTTGGGTTAATATCATGTCCGGCTGAAATTGTGAAGCTGTTTGAACTGGGTACCATGTATTACCGAACATGAATCTTTACCCTGGAAACTTATTGTGACCTTTTCAGCACTGGAGTTGAGCAAGGTTATTGTACAACGATCAATACACGGCTACTCGAAATTCGGCATCAGAGATCAGTTGAGATGCCTCTGTCACCGCTCTGGACCTTTTAGCAACATCAAGGAACTGTGTAAAACACTGGGCCTTGAAAAGTTTCAAGTAATTTTGGGCAAGAATAGTAGTTTCTTTGAACAAAGACATTTGGGGCCACAGTTTCAAGCGTGTCCCAAATTATTTGGACATGCCTCAAGGCATGATTCGGGCGCTTCTTTGGTTGTTTTGTATCCTATACTCATCATAACCAACGGAAGGTGAACCATGGCAATCATGGCAACAGAATGCAATGGATATTTGCAAGTATTCCAGGTTTTCCTAAACATGTGTGATTTTCCACTGCCATTTCGTAAGCTTCAGTTCATCCTTGGGACAATTTTTGCCATAGGCAGCCGCAGTCAACCACAACGCAATCAACTTCGAGGTTCTGCAGTTGTCCCCCGTGTCACATTGTGATGTTTCAAGGAGGGGAAGAATTGGGCGGCCTGGTTGGTCCATTCCTGGGTCCCAACGTTTCCAGCACTTGTTAAACCCCGGAACGTGTGGGGCCCTGGATGCGTGAGATGATGTTTAAATAGGATAAGTGGGGTTTCTGATTGTTATACTCTAGTTAGATTGATTTATAAATTAAACCAACTTACAACTGGGCGGCCTTACCTTGTAGAATGAATACCTTTGGGGGGTCTCAACCATCTTCTGTGGGGTCGAGAGCTACACTATGCGAGGGGAATACCAATATGTATCAATATGTCTATATATTAAATTGTATAATTATATACATATACATACAAGTATACACCGTGTGTGAATATACATCACCCTTGGTACATTTTTATTTTCGAATTCATCACAAGAACCATCATCAGCATGTTGGAATGTGGTCCTTTTGCCACTCACCCAAGAGGAAGCTATTGGAGTCCAACGGAAGATGTAGAGCAACCACAAGCTCTTATATTTCTCACTATTTCTCCTTAGAACATGCTCAAAGCTGTGTTGTGATTCAAGCTCGCTTAAGTTCTCGACCAATCCCATGGGATCCAACAGAGGATAGCTTGCCAGGAGCAAATTGTGAAACTGATTGGTACGTCTCCATAAGAGTGGGGATGGGATGCAAGACAAGTCAGGGAGTGCATGAGCAGTGCCCGGTTGTTGGAACTTCTCAAGAATTACTTGGACATAGTCGGAGAAATCCAATCTGAGATTCACTCAGAACCCCGGCCTCAACCAACCAACCAACCAACCAACCAATTGGGTACTACTCTAGTAGCCCATGGCTGAGCAGGACAAATACATCTAATATAACCACTTGGTATCAGTTTCCAGCAGGATGGGCATGGCAGAGATCAAATTACCGACCTGTTGATTTCAATCAGTGTAGAGTCACACTCCGCAAATGAAGACTCAACAGGACTCAACAGGGTTTTCAGTTTTGTTGAGTGTGTTGCTGCCATTTTTTTAATTTTAAGCCATCCCTGGAAGCGCCCAAATGAGCGAAGCCGAGATTCAGATTGGTACCTTTTCAGCACTGACACCAGGCTGTCCCAGGGCTTTTGTCAAAAGGTCTCGTCTTTCTGGGACACCAATCCACTCATCCCAGGTGAACTTCAAATTCCATGGAACGTCCAGCTTGTTGCTGGGCTGTTTCAATACAATATCATGAGTATTCATGGGAATAGCTTGATGGGATCAGATACCAATCGGCACTGGCACTACAACAAAGGAGGCCAATTGACCAGACTCGTTCTTTAGAAGTGGATTGCATTCCTCTACTGGGCCCTGGGTGGGCAAACGTTCGATAAATTTTTGGTACTTGGATGTACTTAGACATCTTGGACTAGACTTCAACATGTTGCCATAGATGGGTGAACAAATACATGGATTAGTGATATGTTTAAACATGTTTCAATTTCACACATATTCTTTTCTAGGTATCTAGGATTGGTCATGATACGCCCCGCGATTCCCGACCTGTTGAAGACCAGCACATCGAGCCGGTTTTTTGCAATCATTTGAACTCAGTCTTTGTGTTTTGTCTTCAAGACATGGTCAAGGTTGATGAGCGTCACTGAGTAGACAACTTGTAAGTCTCCGCTCCCTCCGCTCCTTTTTGTCATGGTTAGATATGGTTAGCAGGTCCTGACTGTCAGACCAATCCACAGCCAGTGTTGCCCACATCTCCCAAGTGTGAAAAATCACGGCAATCCACTGAATCCACTTCTCCACTCGTTCGCGGCTGAAAGTCGGGCCTCTTTTGATCCTCAGTCTCTGTACCCTCTGGTAATTTAACATAGCTGACATAGCTATTGAAAATGGTGATTTATAGTGGATTTTCCCATTGAGAATGGTGATTTTGCATAGCTATGTTAGTTTACCAGAGGGTACTTCCTATGCGCGCGGAGAGCTCTCAGTCAGACGACTTTTTATAACCTCCAATTCGTCCGGAGAGCTTGCGGAGCGCTTTGAGTCGAGTGTCACCGTGAAATCATGCCGCTTTATCAATACCGCTGCCGTGCCACTTGGAGGATGGGAATACTCAATGCTAATAGGGATTTTAAGATTCACCCAGGATTGTATTTAACACGCCTTCCTACTATAAGTGTTCAATGGATGTTAATATGTTCCCAGTATATGGCCATGATATACCCAATAAATATTTTACTATGAGGGATAATTATATATTATAATTAGATTATATTATTTTATATTACATTATATTATATTATATTATATATTATATATTATATATTATATATTATATATTATATATTATATATTATATACTATATTATATTATATTATATTACATTATATTATATTATATTTATATTATATTTATATTATATTTATATTATATTTATATTATATTATACTATAATATATTATATTTTATTGTATTGTATTATATTATATTATATATATTATATTATATTATATTATAATATATTATATTATATTATATTATATTTTATTATATTATATGATATGATATTATATTATATTATATTACCATGTTGGCACGGTACGAGCGTGGCAGCGTGGCATTGCGTGGGACGGGTCCTGTGCGCAGCGCATCTTTGGACAAACGGAGGGTCGGTGGATTGTGGTTGGGCATGGCAAATCAGTGACCTATCCCAATGTTTGGACAAATGATGTACTGTGACTTTCAAGACACTTTGCACCAACAAGATTCAACAAGATATGTCGTTCGAAGTGCTGTTCAGCACATGGACAACGCCCTTGTTGCCATGCCCAAAATGTCCAAGCCACCGAGAAGTTGCCTGAACCTCCAGACCGTGTTGGAAGCGACGCCGGATGAATTCTCCTGGCGCCCACGGGTGAGATGTAAACCCTGGCTCTGGGAGTCCATCCGCAGCTGCGCACGAATCATCGAAGCTTACACCGGCAGACACCTCTGCAAACAAAAGAAAATGAGAACTGAATCATCTATACTACTGTACTATATTCCCAGGTTTTGTGTAGTACTGGGGTGTACATCTTGGAAGTGGATAGTGATGTGAGTTGTGATATTACAATGTCAATGGGCGTTCTATAGCGTGCCTAATGCAGGAGGTGTTCATGTGCAAATGTTAAGTAGTTTTGAGTTCGACCTGGCTGATGGCACTTTGTCGAGTGAGTTCAAATTACTTCTCCATGTGTGGCAGTCATGTAGCTATCGATTCAATCGAGTCATTCGATTCTATAGCAATTCGCATACGGAAGAGCTATTTTTTTTTGCAAAGGCCATGAATAGGATGTTTTACCCTCTGGTAAACTAACATAGCTATGGAAAATCACCATTTTCAATGGGAAAACTCACTATAAATGGCCATTTTCAATAGCTATTTTGACATAACCAGAGGGTAAAATGTTGTCATATTTTGTTGGTTGATTTGTGTTTGTTCCCCAATGTTTTTTCCATGGTGACCGCAGTAGAGCCAAGATGCGTGGTATTTTAAACGTTATTGTAGATATTGCTGTGGCAGCGGCATCAACATTAGACCTTCTTGGTTTCTTATGATGTGGTATTGCTTTTGTCAATGTGTTTGCTTATGTTGTTGATCATACAATTGATGCTGATGGTGATGATGATGCTGACGATGAGGATGAGGATGATGATGATGCTGTGGTTGTTGTGTTTGTGTTTATCGTGATTGTTTTGTTTGTTGCGTTTGTTGTGTGCGTTGTGCGTGTTGTGAGTGGTGTGGTTGTTTTCTGTTTTTTGTTGTTGCTGTTGCCGTTGCTGCTGTTGTTGCTGTTATTGCTGTTGTTGTTGTTGTTGTTGTTGTTGTTGTTGTTGTTGTTGTCGTCGTCGTCGCTGTCGTTGTCGTTGTCGTTGTTGTGATGATTGTTGTTGTTGTTGTTGTGGTGGTGGTGGTGGTGATGGTGGTGGTGGTGGTGGTGGTGGTGTGAATAAGGGGTAGTGCTGGTTGGGTTCCTAAGTGTACCAGCAGGTACGTATGCCCAATAACAGTCAAAATGGCTCAGACAGTACTGTACCTTCGCAAAGTTGTAATGATTCATCCAGTCTAAAGAGTCTAATGTACTATGGAGATCTATGGAGCATATGCGGATGGATCAAAATATATCCTATATTCCTATGATACATTTTTTGGAGGGATGAACATGTACTTACCAGCTATTTTGGTGTGAACTACAGGGTATCAGAGTTTTAACCCCTTAGCCGTATGGAATTGCGAACATCTCAAAACATGAGCTCTGATTTCAGGGCAAGAGCACAGTTTTTCATCATTGTGAACAAAATAAACCAATGCATACACACACACACGCACACACGCATTGTGCATCATTTGTTGCCATGAAGCAGCTTGTGGCACTGGGCTGCAAGTTGGGTAGCGACAGATTTTCAATTCTGGATGCAATAAAGTGCCCTTGACCATGGCTCTCGATGCCATGTAATAGTGCTGGGGAAGACGATAAGATGGGAGATAAAATTCGAGGCTCAAACTCGCTGGCTATCAGCCTGGTTTTTGGATGTTTTTGGTGAGCTTAGACCGGTGCTGCTGCTGATGAAAATGATGCTTGTTCGCTTTTAGAGCTGGCTATCAGCTGATAAATGAAACAAGCTCTCGGTGATGCTTGTTTCCTAAGGTCGATCCATGAATCTACCCCCTTCCGAAGTCCACAAGATCACAGCTCTTATGACTGGGCATGGCTCAATGGCTCAAAATGAACCTCCTGAAAGTAGGGGCAAACCGGTGTTTAAAGATGTTGAAAGGAAGTATCAGAATGTTCAACGGTCTTGACGCATCCCTCGGATGATTCTGCAGTCGCGTTCTTCAAAGTTTGATTGCAATTCATGGAAGAATACATTGACAACAGCAAATTCGCTGCCAGGATGCCCACATACTGGTACTATGATGACAAGGGTGGGCTTTGGGTTGCACCCAAAAAAAAAGGTCGTCCAGTCGTCCAACAACTTTCCACCTCGCCACTTGGATCAAGGGGGCCGGCTGAGCCGCAGCTCGATCCACGCCCCTGGCATGGAGTTCTTCGAATCCGAGACGGCAGAACGGGCCCGGCTCATTACCCTTCTGACGTGCCTCGAACGCAGAATGCGGGGGACTCCAAAGCATTTCGTTTCATGAAGCCTGGACTAATTTTCCATGTGGGTCACTTAAATGAGGGAAATCCAAATGCTGATTTCATGATGATTATTGCAGGGGAAAGCGAGAAAATATTGGTCTGTGAAAAACTGACTCCATTTTTGGACAAGCCATGACAAGCCTATCTCCAAACGGTGGCTGCTTAGTTGCTAATCCAGTGAAGAGTGTGACCATTGATTTACCATCTGGTAATTTAACAGAAAGCTATTGAAAATGGCCATTTATAGTGAGTTTTCCCATTAAAAATGGTGATTTTCCATAGTTATGTTAGTTTACCAGAGGGTACAGTGTATTGCCCAGCATGTTGTGCACATGTGTATATTTAGTTTGACTATGCTTGATGCATGAAAAATGCCAGAATCACATCATACGGCCTCACAACGATCTCGCTGAAAATGGTGGACAAAAGCATCCATTTGTCAGTCATGCCAACAGGTTTCGGCGTGTATTATTATTGTATATATGATATATATATATTATTATATATTATGTTTTATTATATTTTTCTG